TTTTCATGAAGTTACTGCGCCCTTTTCATTATTAATCTTTTAGTACTAGTAAAATGTAGCAAGGTTCTGTTTTCTAACCGAACCGAAACTTTAAACAGTTACCCACCCTATTTACAATACAACACTTTATGATCAGTAGGTCACCAGAGTTCTTGGCGTATCGTTTAGCATCCACTATTTTAAATCTAGATTAAAGCGCACTTAAGTTTAACTGGTATAGCTGAAACTGTGTACGCTCCCCCCAACAAGATAATACAAAACGTCATATATTGTAGGTTACCAATGACTTCCACAGACCCTTGAATGGCCTCTGCGGATATTCCAGGGAAGTAACGTGTAAGCGACATGGAATTTTTCAGGACAGTGTTTTCTTATTCATGGTTACGTGTTCACCATAAAAAATTAAAGATGCAAAAACATTTTTGCAACAGAAAGGTAAATTATTGCCTTTTAAGTATTTGTATTTCATGTGCACTCTTTCTTACTCATTTGATTTAACACACTTTCTTACCTCCTATTAAATCATCCAAGATAAAATGGTACAAAATGAAGCAGTTTTAACAAAAATACCTTAAAAACACGTTTTCCAAAATTAAAACTGAAAATTATCAATACAACTTCCCTGAAAACTTGAGAGTTGATACAGTCTAATGACTAAAAAGGCGTGGGGTCTTTTCTAAAGACATGCACGCAAAGTTTTACTAGGTTCGTTTCACTTGCCAAGAACACGATTTTTGTGAGCATTCAACAGTAAAGCTAAACACTTGTGACAACTCCTATTTTCGTTATAAAACAATTTGTATCATAACCGTTGTGGAATGTAATACTTAATTTCAGCTAGCAAAAGTTTACTTGTGTCAAACATTGTATTTGTCATGTCCTACTAGATTGTTTGATGGGCTCCCAAAGATTCTGAGTCATATGTCTGTAATAACTCAGACGTTTTTTGGGGGGAATATATTTTAATTTTTTGAATTTTTTTTTAAAAGGGTGTTTAAAACCTCCGAAAATTGTGTCTATGGTTTAATTTTCAAAAAAAATATCTTAAAACCCCCGAGGGAATAATTCTGAAAGAAACGCTGACTGTATTCCACTAAGATAATGGTTGTATTCGTCGTTACGTACTATTCATGTAACAAGCCACATTAAAAAAAAAAGAAAAAAGAAATTTAAAAAACAGAAGACAAATTACACCTTGACAAAGCAAACAGATAATACATTTCTATTACCCCATATTGCCCATGAGATTAATCTTTACTTCAAAGACAAAAAGAATTCAAATAAGTATGCTTGTTTTTCTAATGTCTTAATCTTAACAATAAAAATATTTAAATTCTTCAAATGTTATTCCTCAAATATTAAAAAGTGATCATCGTCCAAACGTTGACGAGTTCTTGTAATGAGCTGTCAAGAGTAGATGGAACAAGAAATAATAATGCAACTGTTAAATCGAAGTAATAATATTGTTATAATTCAAAGAGTCTGCTTCATTTTTTTGCCATTGATCATGTTTTGCTGTTGTTGCTTGTTTCCCTTTTAGATAATGTTATGAACTTTGAATCTTCTGTTGATATGACTTGGAAATTAATGGGTCTCTATTTAACTTCAGGGCATTCATTTTTTTTTTTCATTTATTTTTGGTTCATTCATATTTTCCTTAGTTTTTCATTGATGTAAAGCACCTTAACTCTTAGAATATAACTATGGCATGTTTAAGTTCAAAATTGGTCATTTTATTTTAAAGGCAACCACAAAAGGAGTAAATATTTCATATTTTATTTTAGGGTTTAGCTTTTCAACTTTAATAATTTTTCTACACACTCCTCAAAGGCTGTTTTGGTAATATTTCCATTGAAATGTATGTGCTATAAACTGTTTGTGTAAAATCTAACTGTCGTTTTCATTTCTGTCTCTGATAGTTCAGTATTTGTGAATTTAATTTACTTCATACATTGTTAATTGAGCAAAATTTATTTCAAATTAATAAACTTGGTGAAGAAGAGTATAAGTATTTATTTTCGAATGTGTGTGTTAAAAAATTAATAAATATGTGCATCAAATGTGCGCACTCTGAAGAACAAATACGATGCGGACAGATCTCAGAGACGCACAGCTCTCATAGGAAATAAACTGGCACAATATGGGGTGGACATCGCATCACTTAGCGAGACTCAGCTTGCAGGAGAGGGCGAATTTTGTAAAATGAGGTCTGGATATACGATCTAATGGAGTGGCAGAGGAAGTGAGGAGCACCGCGAGGCTGTTGTTTGTTTTGCTATCAAGACTTCAATGTTAAACTTGACTGCTGGTCTTCTGAAAGGAGTCAAAAGTAGGATAATGACAGTGAAACTCCCTCTTGTAAATGGAAGAACACACCTCACCATTATAAGCTGCTATGCTCCAAAAATTACCCAGATGAAGTAAAAACCAGTCTCTAAGAGGATCTTAGCTCTGTCATATGTCGTCATAAGGAGGAAGGACAGTCAGGACGTACGAGTAACCAAATCCATGTGGGATGCAGAATGCAGGACTGATCATCGTCTTATTATCACCAAGCTCAACCTATACATACAACCCAACAGACGACTACAGGGGATGAAGACCCTTAAACTTCTAAATACCACAAAGTTGAAAAACCTCAACGTTAAGAAATCCTTTGTGGACGTTCTGGAAGAACGTATGGAGTCCACACTATTGGAAAATGACAACGTCGAAGCAAACGGGGCATCACTTATATTTATGGTGTGCAGCACCGCCATGGAGTTTCTGGGGCAAAGCTTGAAAAATTACCACGATTGTTTTGATGATAATTCTGAGGAAATCAAGCAACTGCTCCTGGAAAAACACCGTCTCCACCACGCTTCCCTAAACAACCCGAAGTCCATCCCAATGAAAGATGCGTACCAAAGTATAAGAAGAACCATTCGGCAGAAACTGCGTTTAATGCAGAATAAATGGTTTAGTGACAAGGCTGACGAGATCTAAGGCTATGCGGACCGACATGACCTAAAAATTTCTACCTCAATCTGAAAACAGTCTACCGCCCTACTTCATCAGGATCATCCCCACTTCTGAGTGCTGATGCGAAAACTCTAAAAACTGAGCAGGAACAAATTATTTAAGGCTGGACTGAACATCCTAAATCGACCATCATCCATTAATGAATAAGCCATAAATCGTCTCATACAGGTGCCTTTTAATCAAGAACTGAAAGACCCCCTACCCTATCTGAGACCCAACATGATATATGCCTTTTCTCAAGTGGCAAAGCACCAGGTTATGCATCAATCCCATCTGAAGTATACAAAGAAAGGGGGGAAACTCTGTCTGAAAGCTTAACCAGCTGTTCATACTTATGTGACAAGAAGAGTTTATTCTAAAGGACGTCAAGGATGCCTCTATTGTTCACCTGTACAATCGTAAAGGGAACCGTCAATCATGCGACAACCACCTTGGCATATCACTGCTCTAAATTGCAGGCAATATATTAGCAAGAATCATGCTAAATCGCCTTAACAAGCATCTTGAAAATGGTTTACTGCCATAAAGTAGATGTGGCTTCCGGAAGGAACGAGGAGCCATCGATATGATATTTGTGACCAGACAGCTACAGGAAAAGTGCAAGGAACAAAATGTTTACCTATTCTCTACCTTTGTAGACCAGGCCAAAGCTTTTGACACTGTCAGTAGAGAGGGCCTTTGGAAGATCATGGCCAAATACGAATGCACAGAAAGTTCGTGTCAATGGTACGACTATTCCATGAAGGTATGCATGCTAGAGTTAGGAGATAGGATAATGGATACTAGGATAATAGAGAGACTTCAAAACCATTCCCTGTAACAAACGCGTGAAACAAGGCTGTGAACTTGCACGAACACTTTTCAGCCCCATGTTTTCCGTATTGCTGACCGATGCATTAAGAGAGGGAGACGCTGGAATTGGCCACAGATACCGAACTGGCGGTAATCTATTTAACCCCAGGAGGATACGCTGAGTCACAAGCTACTCTAATGCCTTCACAAACTTCGGGCTCACCAATAGCACAACAAACGGAGGTCATATACCAACCAGCTCCTCGGAGCCCTTATGTTGAGCTTATAAATATAAATGTATATAGTTTAAATCCATGTTAATTTTTCATAATTGATGCTATAAATGAAAGTACTCTAAAGCGCAACATTAAAATTAATGAAAAGAGATATGATAAACATATTGTTGTGAGTGATGAAGATAACAAAAAAATGAAATATTAGTTATGCATTTATTGTCACAGCTGCTTGATTAGTTGTTGTGTACTGACATCTCTGTTTTATGCTGTGTAGACCCTTTCTGTTTTTTTTCATAAAAGTAAAGCTTTTAAATGTTCTTCTAATTGTCTCTGCTTGTTTAATCATCTATTTTTGTGAAATACGTTAGAAATATAATCTGTCCTAGAGGATAGGCACAGGCTATTATAGACATCGGATAGGTTTCCACTTTATCGTCCCCATATGTTGGTTCTTGGAATTCTCAGATGGATTGGATTTGCAATCTAGGGAGCCAATTGATGCTTCAAAAGAAAAAGAAAATCCCAGGCTTGGTAATTCTGCTTTCGAATTTTACATCATCTTCACAATGTATTGAATGGATGCCAGAAAAAAAATCACCATGTAATGTGAGGGGTGGGAAGATCGTGGTTTTGCGAGGACTAGATAAAAGGTTATGGGGACACAGAGAAGTTGTGTTTCAACAGTAGGGTTATCCTATCTAGTTGAAGTAGGCGTCGTGGATAGTATTAGTCTCTGTCTATTATTATTTTATTACAGGCTAAATATCATCTTCAAAATGACGAAAATTTATGAAAATCGCTTCATACATATTGTATCGAAACGAAATTACCAGTCTACTTGTAATACCTAGAACTACGATAACTAATATCTGCTTTCATAGAAAAAAGTAGTTAATCTGTAAACAAGTTTAATGTCAAGCTAATGCAAAATCGTATCCGATAAACCTATGGGTTAAAATCTAATTTATGGTATGGAAAACAAAAGTATTATGTGAAAGCTAATTTTTCAATATATTCTTCCTTCAAAATTTCTCAAATATATATCGCCTGCAAATGTATCAATGTACATTTTTTTGTTTCTTGAGCTCAGACATCAGCATGAGAACAATTCTGCCTTCACATCTCTTCAGGGTTATTATTAATGAGTGCCATTTCAGATTTGACACTTACATCAGAATACCGGTGAGCACGTATAGACTTTAGTCCTTGTCAAAGCTGGTATGTAGCAAAGTACAGATAATGGGGATAGAAAAATTTCAGTGTAAATCTAACGCACCAATTTTGTGTACACCACTTTAATTGAATTGGCAAATTTAGTTAGCATGCCCAGAAGGTCAAATTCATAGTGGAAACTGAAACATCAGCAGAAGAATATGGTGACTCAAATGCAGACGGATCATTGATCAATTAAGTCATTTTTAACAGGCGAGAGAACAATATGGACCCTGACTTATGTAAATGCACTCTGGTTCCAGAACTTATTTTATGGCCTAAATGATTATTGAAGTCGTTGATATATTTTACAGGTTTACGTGATGCAATAGGTATGTCTATCCCATTAATAGTTCCCTTATTAGCAGAGCATGGAAGTGTTGCCGTTGTTTGAGGTTTGTATACTACAACGTTTAATACAAGTCACTTGATATGGGTTCTCTGCCCATCTTTAGGTGGGAAAAAAAACATAATTGGTTCTAAAAATAGAATTAAAGGAATGGTTTTGAATAATTGATATTAATGAATAATTTTTTTTTTTTTTTTTAAATGTCTCCCTATGTCTGTAATGTATATTTTTTTTAAATTGAAAATTAAAAATAAATATACCATAAAATCAATGCAAAGAATACGAGAAGTGTTCACAAAAAAAGCAATTATTTTTACTTACGAATTGTAAATTTCTATGAAACTTTTATAGGAAAATAAAAATAAGGTGTTTCATTTTAAGCTAAAATATTAAATGATTAAGTTGTTAATTGATCTGTGATAATTGCAATCAAATAGGTTTTAAAATATGTTTCGTCCCTTTTATTATAAACATTTCTGTTTGATTTAATTACAAAAGCAGATAACTGCAACTCAAATGAAATACAAGAGCTATACTAAATGAAACAACTACAAATAGTTAATGTAAACATATAACCTAACTATAAATTGTATCACTATCCAAAAAGACAAAACTAAACAGTCGAGTAATACTTTTACTAATATGGCAAACAAAAGCAGGATCTTTTAAACAATGGTGTGCATATATCTTTTAAGAGTAGGTATGTTGGGCTATAAAGAATATATTAATATATAATTAAATATTTATATTTTAATTAAAAGAGATATATTAACTTTTTATTAATAGAAATCAATACCATGCCTTAAAAGTTTGTTTGACATTTTTGAAAATAAATCAATTTAAAGAGCAAACAAAATTGTGTACAAAAAAAATTGTTGATTTTTCCTTTAAAAAAAGATAAACAAAAGTCTATCGTCAAGAGGGGTTTCTCTTTTAAATATTGATTTATCAGCATTTATTAGAAATTAAGGCTATTCTTGCTATCAAATTTTCCACTTTTCTAAGAATTTGAATTTTAAACAATTGCATTGGGAATTAGCGATACTTTAAATATATGTATTGTTTTTGTATATATATATTTTTTTTAAATCATCCAATAACTGTTCCTCTCGTAACGAAGCATGCGGTGGTATTAAAAGATCCTCCGCAAACTGAATAAGTAAATGTAAAACTGTAAAGCATCCCTATTGTAATATTTGTAGACACTGTGTATGTAGCCGTGTGTTCGCCTTTTACTACCTGTCTGCCATCTACAAAAATTTTTACGTCACAAGGGCTTGGAGCATGTTGACATTGGAACTTAATAACTGATCCAAGTGATACTGTAGCTGGACAGGCCATGGGAGCATCGTTTAGTGTCAAACTGGTAGTCACATCATTCATGTCTGGCAAAATAATATTTTTTATTTTTTTTTAGCTTTGTGTATTTAACAAATATAAATAATTAAGTGAAGGATATAAAAAAACTATTCTTCGATTTGTTTCTTATTTATAAATTATACATTTCTACCTTTCACAAATAATAAAGAACACATTGCCACGGAAAGCATGACAATTTAAGTTTGACGATATTCTTGTGAAAGTTAAACGCGTGTTAACCTACAACTAAAAATTGAAGCTAAAAAACTCGCTTTAGCACAAATATTTTAAAAAAAATTACACTTTTTTATATACAAATTATCTAAAAATGGTTGCAAAATAAATCAAAATTGTATAAACGTATAACACAAAACAATTAATAGATTTAAATTTAAAAAAAAATAAAATAAATCTCCTTCCTAAATTGTATTACTCATACAAACTGGAAAACATATTTTTACAATTCTTTCAAATATAATCATATTACAATATAAACAAGAAAATGTTTCCCAAATAAAAACACGTTTAAAATTAAAGAATGTCACCTAATAAAAGAGAACACATGTAGATGTGTAATGTTCTGTTTAAATGATTTTTGGCTATCCAGGTTTGAGAGCCAACGGTAAGATTGTGTTCAAGTATTTATGATAAATATAAATACTAAAATTCACTCAACATTTAACAGTTTTTTAAGGTACTGAAAAATGTGTGATGTAAATAAGAACTTTAAAAAAAAAATCAAATGATTTGGTGAACTAGGGTCTGTAAAAATTAACATCCTACTAAAAATGAAGTAAGAATTAATTAATATTCACCATATATTGTAGGTACTTTGAGTTCGTTGCTAAAAACACTAGCACCAGAAACACTCTCCCAATAAATCCTGATCATAGCATTACTGTAAGAGATATCTGCTGGTCTGTTAGCCACTATTTCATATACACTTCCTCTTTGTACAGCACAGTAGCAGGGTTGAGGATTTGGTGTTACACAAGTAAGCAAACTGACAGTACACAACTGGAAAATAATTTAAACAGAATTGAACTTAATGGAAATGTATTTCATGAAAATATCTTAATAAATTCATAACAAATTTTGAACGTTCATTCTGTAAGTTATACACCAAATACACAATTTTACATTGCTGCCATGTCTTTTTCCATTTTATTATTTTTTTTTTTTTTAATTTTATTTCTGCTCACTGTCCTTCCAATCTTCTGAACATTTTCAGGAACTGGCGACCACTCGTATTCTTGCTTCTAAATTTTTGGTATAATACATATATTATGTAAATTTAATTTAAAATTATGTGAAATTATATTTTTTAATGAAGAAGGCATTTTGCGAAAAGTTTTTTTTTTTTTTTTTAATTGCATTTTGTTTGATCATTTTTAAAGCTGAACTTCATTTACACTAATTTTTTTTGCCTAATGAACTAATTTTGGGAATATTTTTGTATTAATTCTATATTTTTGTTATTATTCATATTTTATGTAAATTTAATTTAAAATTATGTTAAATTATATTTTTTAATGAAGAAGGCATTTTGCGAAAAGTTTTTTTTTTTTTTTTAATTGCATTCTGTATGATCATTATTAAAGCTGAACTTCATTTACACTAATTGTTTGTGCCTAATGAACTAATTTTGGGAATATTTTTGGATTAAGATTATTTAACATAGAGAAATGCACTGAGGATTTTTTATGTGATAGATATAATAATATAATTTATGTTATTCATAACTCTTTCCACCACTAGTTGGTGAATTTCACATGAGAAAGTCCTTGGTCGCTGATTTCTCCGTTTAATAATCTTTCTAATAATCGACCTAAACCACAAGGTAGTTGCAATGAAAACCTTGCTGGATGCAGTTGTATAAAGCATAATATATTTTTTGGGCCTGATTGATCTTTTTTTCTGCAGTCCCTAGCAACTGGGTGTAACATACCCTTGCATCAAGTAATAGAAGGAAAAAAACTATCAACGCGCTTGTGAGCCTTTTTCTTTGGTATTTGTTTTTTTATTGTGTCTTTGTAATCCATAATTTTGATGTTTAATTTTGACAATAAATAAAAAATATGAATGCATTTGGGTACCTACAATAATAACATGTATTCAACTTGACCAACCATTTCAAAGCAGAACATGTGTATGTACACATGAAAAATAGGGGCTTTGCAGTAAAGCTTGCTCAGTTTTTACATATAAAGAATGTTTACATGAAAATATCTCTAATTAACTTGCTGAGTAGAAGTGTTTTGGGCAGCTGTTAAAGTGTTTGTAAAATTTGGAAAGCTTTCAGAATACTTGGTATGTTCTTCTGTAGAATATATCGGTGTGTCTTTACGGATCGTCTCTACTTGCGGAGGGGTGACACAAAGTTTAACCTTGAAAACTGTCTGTCTTTTTCAAATTCTGTTAACGTCATGAGACAGTGAGTTAGCCGGATATTCATATTTAATTCCACGCTTTGCTGCAATAGATGCCAAATAAACAATGTTGAAAAACACAAGTAAAGGCCATCTTTTACTTCTGGTTTTTTGTATTCAGACAGAACACCTTCCCACTTTGGTTCATGGCAAATATGCTTCCTTTGATTTTTTTGCTATAGAGAATGATTTCTGGTTTCTTGCATTTAGTTTAAATATCTATATCTGGACGCTTGTGTATTGTATTGAGGAACAATACTATTGTACTTATTAGTTGAGGGGCAGAGCTTACTTTTGATAGCTACCCGTGGATAGGAACATCTTGTTCTGTTTCACTGTTCCAACTAGAGTGCGTCTGTTCTTGGCCATTGGTTCTGTAAGTTGTAAGGGAATGAAAAAATGTTCCTTTCTTAAATGTCGGCCTCTTCCATATAAGTCTCTTGTGAGAGAAATCACAGTCTCTGGGGATCTTCCAACATTTTTTTTTTCTGTCACGGCACTTACATTTTCTTTGCCGAGATATGGGCAGCTTCTCAGAGGATGGCTCAAAGACGATTTAGAGGCCCACAAAATGTGTTTTCTATATTTGTAGTCTGTTTAGCATATAATGAATAAATCTAGACAGACCTCTAAACCATCCAGTTGCTAAAAGAACATAATACCTCACCAAAATACTCAGGAAAGCTTCGCATACATCTATTACGGGATAAAAGATATCATGGACCATTGATCTAGTATCTTTGTTTTTAAAGCCAATGTAAATCTGAAGTTTGCTGAAAATCTTCATTCAAATTACTGCCCCCAAAAAGTAGGACTTCCATCAACATGGCTGAATAAACATTCCACTGAGATTATGTCAAAGCTAAGAGCACCAGTGTGTATAAGGGGCCAGTAAATGCTTTAATTTAGATCGGATCATTGCTGTGCCATTTGTTTCCTTTTAATTTATCACCTTCCTTGTTGGTGCAGTCCATCATTGTTTGCAATATTTTTTCATTATTGTATAGAAAGAAATGCTTTAATGGGAGACTCAACGCAAACTGTAAAAGGAGTTAGTTTTCAGTAAAATTAAATCATGCCACATTGTACAAAAAAAAAAAAAACAGTATAAAAAGAGCTTATGCTATGATATAAGACTATGACTCTAACCCAACCAGTTGCCAGGAATCTTCAGAAACACTTTTCTCCATCAAAATAAGTGTACTGGTGTAAAAATTCAGATGCTATAGACATAGTATAGATTATGATGCGGCGTAAAGAATTTATTTAGAATACAATGCACTGAACAGCTTATTTAAACATGTGTCTATTCTTCAGTCTAAGGTAATAATCTAATATTTGTCGTGGGTGGAGTGAATGTTTACATGTTAAATACATGGTGGCATGGAGAAAGAAAATGTTTTACGTGATAAAAGAATAAATACATCATGACAATATAAAAATGTAAATCTTTTGTATTCATAGCTGTTCTAAAAAATGTCTTTATCAAAGATGACATATTACTTGAAATATTGTAGTCTTTGCAAATTAAAAGTTGTTATAAGAAATATCCATTAGTTTTAATTTAGTTCAACTGTCAAAATTCTTGAGAGGTTTGAAAAAGATTAATTTGGAATTGCATCTCGGCGCTATTAAGAGAAGAATATTTTTTTTTAAAAAGCAAAATCGTATAAGATAAACGCAATATGACTAAAAAAGTAAAGGAGCCGCAAAAATAGAAAAAACATATATATTAATGTTTACATGTTTCAATTAAAGAATGAACATTTGTTCACAGAGAAAATTTATTTTTCGTTTTGTAAATGTTGCTTTCCTTTTCATTCTATACAATTAAAAACTTTAAAAACCAAATCAAATATAGGATGGGGCTGAAATTTGAAAAAAATGCTTTGTCATCGGTAAATAGTCTTCATTGCAAGTTTCAGTTAGAAAAATTCAAGTGAAAAAATAACAAATTAAATTAATAAAATTTAAATACATTATGTTTTCGCCTTATTGTTTTAAACATCTTTTGATGCCTAAAAGAAACACTGTTTGAAACTAACCATTACCACTATTTCTTTAACTCTTTTCTTTTCAATGCTAGCGTTTTTCAGTAGAATTATCAACTAAGACATTTCGTCAGTAAGATAATACAATGAAGGAAACAATATTTACAATTACTTACAAATGCAAATCTATTTGAATATGTCAACCTGACTTGAAAATCAACCACATTGGACATCTTGGCAGTCGTAGCATCAACAATTCCTCTAAATATATAAAAGTCCAGACCATCTCTTAGACCACTTGAACAAGTAGAAACACTTCGTACAGAAGTTGGATCTAGATACACTGATTGGCCTTGAACTTAAGAAATTTTTGAAAACTTAGATATGAAAATATACGTTGGCAAAAATCATATGTGACGAGAAGTTTACGTGATAAATTGAGCTAATTTGTATGTTTAATCATCATCTGTTATTTAACAAAGCTTTAATTATTATGTATGTTTGAATGTTTTTACAGGTTGATTTTGAGTTGATTAACAATCTAAATTTGAAATTCTAATTGAGATATGTAAAAAGACAAAATCGAGGAATAAATTTGTAAATCACTAGAAACAATAAAATATTCCATTGAAATCAAATTATTTGTCTATTGATAAATATAAATCTATATATTTCCTTAATAATGAATTAAATAGTTTACCCTTATAACCGTGATTCACATAATGATAGGCGGATTAAAAAAACAACAAAAAAAACTTCTTTATTAATATCGATAGGACTGGCATATAGACATGAAATTTAAGTTTTTTAAAGACAAATCTAAATGCGATACAAATTAAAAAGTGTACAGAGCTCTTTAGGCAAAATCAATATTTTAGACTCCATAAAAGGGTCAAAATAAAATAAATTCTATTATAATAAATCTGAACACTATAATGTAATAATGTTATATTAACAAAATAAAGAAGACATTGTTACTGTTTTGATGGCTGATTAAGCAAACAAAAAAAAACAGATTTGGCATTTAATAATATAGCAGGCTACGTAGAATAACGCAAACTCAGAATATGAACATCTAGTAACTAAACAAGTGATTTTTTGCATTTTTAAACCATTCATAACTACGTTTGTGAGCATCAAACCCTCGCGCCTTTTGTTTCACAAGGACAGTTTACACGAAAATTCACAAGCAAAACAACATTTTATAATTATAAAGCGTAATTATTGTTTAATATTTTTTTTCTAAATTGTCAGCAAGACATCCATTAATTTCTGTTATGGTATGTAAGGGTAACGTTATTTTAAATCTTTGTTCTCAAAAATAAATTGGGATGTTCATCTTTGACCTACTGATTTTCGTTGGAAATAAATTATTTTGCTTCCCAATTCTATCATTTTAGCCTTTATTTCTACTTATTTTAAAATAAATACAATTAAAGTTTGTTTTTTTTTTGTGTAAATTATGTATGATACACATAAAATAAGTTGTTATTAATAAGACCAATGAGTAATTTTTACCTCCATCACATCTGAAGAAATAAAGAAAGATGGCTGTAGTTAGGCATCCGGTGATAGTCAGAAATTGTTTATACATTTTGCGTCCTCTTTACTTTGGAGAAAAGAAAATAAGTAGATTCAGTTAATGTTTGTATTATACATGTTAAGTTTCGAAATTACATTGTTGAACAATAATTTAAAGAAAAAGAGAAAAATTTCGACAAAATTTAAATGGAAATACTTGACTTCAAAACAAAGTATGAACTTATTTTAATTTAATATTTTGTTTGTAAATTTATAATCAGGAATGTTTTGACTAATGTAAATGTTTCGGTCATCATCGTTCACTTGCTTGATTGAAGAGCATTGACTATCTTTGACCTTTCTCTATTAGACCGAATCTTCTTTATTATTGGTCTACATAATACGGCCGAATATTTATTTGTGGCCCAAAATCAGCGAATAATTTTAAATTGTTAAAATCGTTATTCATTTGTAAATTCAGTCTTAACATGTATCGGAATGTGAGTGAATATAGTATCATTCCTTATACTTCCAATAATATATAGAAGATTCAGCTTCTTGTTTCAATTTTAACATTTCTCCTTCCTTTAATACTTAAGATGCTGCTAATGAGCCGCCTTATTTGATAAACACTTGCTCACAGTCTCTATGATGAAGAGAACGTTATTCTGAGTCAAATCTTAATGGGGTTATCTCAGAAACGAAACAGTTTCATGATTCTCGCCGGTTAGGAAAAGACGATTGATCAGTTAAAATTTTAGTTTATCTAATAATAATGCATTTTCAAATATCAATTAAATTTATAGCAGAAGAAACTCGTATTTTTTCCAGCGTATTTTATTTCTTGATGGGAAAAGTTTTATTTACATCAGGCTTTATAAAATAAAAAATTAGATATTCTTTGATGATACACATAAGCTTTCTTCAATCTGACTCCAGATGCTCAATGAGATTGATATATATATATATATATATATATATATATATATATATATATATATATATATATATATATATATATATATATATACTAGACTATATACCCGGCGTGGCCCGGGATTGCATTCGGACTCCATTCTGCTGGTGTGACCCCCGATCCATTTGGGACCCCGATCCCATTCTGACACTAATCTCGGCGCATGTCCCGTTTCCTGGTGTGATCCCGATGGATCCATTCAAGGTTAGGATCCCAATGCCAGTGGGATCTCGTTTTCTGGTGGGATAATGATCCCGTTGGGATAAAGATAATGATGGGATACCGACCCATATCAAAAAATTCTTCAGCGGGACTGAGACAACGGTAAAGAGAAATAGAAATTGAATAACCAGCTCGAAACATGTGTAAAGAATACTTTTCTAATTATTTTTTTAATCCGATAAAAATCTTCAACTAATGGCAAAATTAATTTTTTTTTTTCATTTAAGTTAATCAGGGACAGGAGGTGGGGGTGACCATTCTATGACTGTTCCGATTTATTTATGTCTGAGATTGGTTGGGAGGGGGGGCTATCAAAATCATTTTAAGTAAATAATAGAGTTAAATTTTTTACCATTAAAATGAGCTGAAATATGCCATAGATATCGCATTTTTAAACTATCGAACTTTCTAGAAAATACTAAATTTGCCCTGCATGTATTGGATTTTCTTAGTTTTAAATCCACCGATTTTTCAATAATATTGCAATACGAACGATGAAATGTAATGCTGCTACCATGTGCTTATATCGATCAATTCACATACAACCTATAGTGTTGTCTAAGCCTATTGATATTTATATGGCTTAAATCAGGAAAAATGAAATGGGGCCTCAAGCCCCAGAAGAATGGATATTATAAGTTAAGTACCCTTCAGTATTTGAATATGGATAATTAAGTATATGTGTACTAAGTTTGGTCAAGTTTCATATATTATTATAGGAGTACTTAGTATATTAATATTTAAAAAGCTTATGTAATAAAAATGAAACGGGGCCTCCGGCCCAAGAGGATTGGATATTATGACTTCACTTTGGTATTTTAATATGGATAATAAAGTGTATGTGTACTAAGTTTGATCAAGATCCATCTACTCATGTAGGAGTATTTGTTGCAAGATTTTATTTATATCTCTCATATAAGCAAAAAAACAAAACATTGGGGCCCCCGGCCCCAAACTAAATGCTATAAAAAGTCCATAATCATTTAGGAGTTCCTTCTGGATAATGATGGATATATATGCCAGGTTTGGTCAAGATCAATCTAACCATTTAAAAACCTTTGTGGAACAAACAAATCTACAAACATTCACTTTTATTTATTTATTTATTTATTTATTTAGGCATTTTTATATAGCGCTTACCTTAAAGCTCTAAGCGCTTTACAATAATTAAAAACATGTTGTGTAAAAACTACATTTCTAATTACTTTTTTAAAAATATGATAAAAATCTTGAACAAATGCCATAACTATTATCCTTTTTCTTTTAAGTTAATCAAGGGGCCCCTGTTGGCCCAATCCTCAACTTTACCGATTTAGTTATACCTGAGATAGGGGGCCCTACAAATATCAGACGCATAAAAAATACAGTTAACATTTCAAATGTGTCCCATTAAAATCTACTTAAAAATGCCATAGATATAGCTTTTTAAAATTATGGAATTTCTGGAAAAATCTAGATTGGATATTATTAGTTTTAAATCCACCGATATTTCAAAACAGAAAATGTAGGGTATTACTACAACGCTAGGCCTATATCAATCAATTCACATAGAAACAGACAATGTAGGTATTACTACAACGCTAGGCCTATATCAATCAATTCACATAGAAACTATAGTGTTGTCTATCCTATTTATATTTATAAATCTTATATAAGGAAAAATGAACTGCTCCCTGGCCCCAGAGGGATGGATATTATCAGATCATTACCCCTGGGTTTTTTAGTATGGATAATCAAGTTCGTGTGTACAAAATTTGCTCAAGATCAATCTACTCATGAAGGGGTATTTGTTTTTAATTTTATTTATATAGCTTATATAAGGAAAAAAAAGAATTAAGGGCCCCAGGCCCCAAACGGAATGTTATAAAAACTTAAGAGTTCCTCCTTGATCATAATGGATACATGTGCCATCAATCCATGTAAAAGCCTTTATGGAACAAACAAACAGACCAACTTTCACTTTTATATATATATTTATATATATATGTATTAGCCAATATACCCGGCGTTGCACGGGATTTCCTTAGGATCCCAATCCCATGCTGACACCAAGCCCGGCGCAGTCCCGTTTCCCGGTTTTACCCCGATCCGGTGGATCCATTTAATGTTGGAATCCCGATCGAGTATGGATCCCGTTTTCTGGTGGGATCCTGATCCCTTTGAGATCAAGATTAGGATCCCGATCCCCTGGGATCCCGTATAAAAAAATTACTTAGTGTTACCGAGAGATCAGTGAACTCCGGGACAGTATAGAAATGAACAGAACTAACTAAATTGTCATTAACCCTTAGATCCCACTATATGTCCCCGTGGAACAATTTAGAACTTTCTGTAACATTATAGATTAAATTTAATAACCTGCTCGAAGCATGTGCAAAACTACTTTTCTAATAATTTTTTTAATACGATAAAAATCTTCAACAAATAACGTAATAATAATTTTTTTTCTTTTTAGTTAATCTTGGAGCTCGGGGGGGGGGGGGGGGTAATCCAGTACTGTTCCGATTTAACTTTGCCAGAGACAGGGGGGCCTATAAATATCAGACGGATAAAAATAGAGTTAAAATTTAAAATTCGTCCCAATAAAATCTACTTTAAAATGCCATAGTTATAGCTTTTTACGGTATCGAACTTTCTGAAAATTCTAGATTGGAAATTATTAGTTTTAAATCCACCGATATTTCAATACGGACTAAGAAGGCATGAAGAAAGCTAGTCTGAGATTCACAAATTCACAAAGAACCTATACTCTTGTCAAAGCCTATTGATATTCATATAGCCAAAAGGAAAAATGAACTGGGGCCCCCCGCCCCCAGAGAAATGGATAATATGAGTTCAGTACCTCTCGGTATTTGAATATGGATGATCAAGTGTATGTGTAATAAGTTTGGTAAAGATCCATCCATTCATGTAGGAGTATTAAGCGTATTGATATTTATATCGCTTATATAAGGAAACATAAAATGTGGCCCCCGGCCCCAGAGAAATGGGTATTATGAATTCAGTACCCTTCGGCATTTGAATGTGAATAATAAAGTATATGTGTACTAAATTTGGTCAAAATCCATTTTCTCATGTAGGAATGTTGTTATTATTTTTATTTCAATAGCTCCTATAAGGAAAAAAGAAAAAATTCTTGGCCCTTGGCCCCAACTGGAATGTTATAAAAAGTTCATAACCCTTCAAGAGTTCCCTCTGGGTAATGATGGATACATATGCAAAGATCCATCAATCTATGTCAAAGTTTTTATGGTACAAACAAACAAACAAACAAATGTTCACTTTTATATATATATATATATATATGATATGATATATATATATATATATATTTATATACCAATATAAAATAACTATTTATATGTAATATATATTTATATATATATTTATTTATTTTTTTATTTATATACCAATATATAATAATTATTTATAAATAATTATATACAAGCAGCCGCCAAGCTGAATCTGGTAAAGATGTTCGCATGCACGAATAGCGGTGCAACTTCAGGAACACTGAAAGGTTTCTTCCTGAATTATGTAAGGCGGGGGTGTGTTACGTGTTCACCTGTCGCCTAACAGTCTTGAAATGGACTATTGCAGATTGTTTGTAGTTTCTGTGTCAACATGTCTTTTTATGTGGAAATTTTGGTATCATCATTTTCGGAATGTTCTGGGCCGTGCAGTGGTATAATTGGTTTAAAAATCGGAAAATGGACTCCTGAGATATCTGCTGGGGTTTGTTTTATCTAATGTAAATAAGCCAGTGAACACTGTGTTTAAAGTACGGAATGTGCGCCACTTTCTAGTTAGCATCCACTCAGTATTGAAATATCAAAGACAGACCTATGAGTAAAAACTGTAGAGACGCAGTTACACATCCAGACTATTGCAGGCCTCTCAGTATGCGCTATACCAAGGTTTAACTACTGCTCTTCGACACTTTTTATGTTAACTCCCAGCGTTTACAAGTGATTTAAAAACTGTTTCAGCTTTGCCTAAACTGCGCGACTGAAAAAGTATCATGTAAACCAATAGCCAAACGGCGAAAGAAGACGCGTCTTTATCGCGCTGGTCGTCGTAAGCAGCGTCCACTGAAATACCGCCATGGCGACTTCAGTGTCAATATTATTTCTGGTGGTGATCGTTATGAAGAGCCATTTGATGAAGGTTTCAGTAACGAGGAGGACAACAGAAATCAGCCACCTACTGTTTCATTGATCTTGCTCGCTCCCCATGTTTCAAGCCTAAGATCACAGCCAGTGACCCATGATTTCGAACCACCTCGTCAGGGCGTGACTAAATCAAATCTAGTAGTTGTCGACTGTCAGCCTTTTGTGAGGCCGCAATCACGGCACTTCGGGGTGCTGTATTTCAACGCCCAGTCATGCAGGAAGAAGACATTTGAGGTTTGCGATCTTATTTTAAAGAGCAAGGCCGACCTTGTGTTCATTACTGAGACGTGGTTTAAGCAGGTCAGAGATGAGGTCAAGCTGCAAGAAAATACACCTCCGAACTATCCCCTTCATTCTTTCCTAAGGCTGTCTCGTGGTGGCGGAGGTATTACTGTTCTTTACAGAAGCTCCCTCAAGAATAGTGACCAGTTTTTTTCATTTGAGATTTGCAAGATGCAATTTAATTTATATGACCAAGCGATTACGCTTCTTTGCATATACAGGCCACCTCCCAATAAGCGAAATAAGTTGAAGACCCCCCAGTTGACTGCTGAGTTTATACAGCTCCTAGACACGTACGCCTCTACAATTAACAAAGTCATCATAATAGGTGATACCAAGTGTCACTTTGATTCCACACTGATAGCTATTTAAAGACTCTGAAATCAGCTCTTGACACATACAGTATGATACAGCTTGTCAATGTCCCGACACAGAAGAGGGGTCACATCCTGGATTGGCTTGTTGTCAGAGAGGACCGCGCAGCTGTCATCCGCAACCTCTTTATTGAAAATTAAATGATCTCTGATAACTTTCCAATATTCTTTGACCTAGACTTGAGGAAGCCAGGGCGCCCTCTGCGCACAGTCACATCTCGTAACCAGCGAAAAATTGATCTAGTGGCCTTCAGATGCGACTTTGCCGCCCTCAGGTCACTGAAATAGAACCGTGACAGACTACAACAATGGCCTTTGAGTTATCATAGACAAGCATGCACCACTGTCCACACGGCGCGTTACAGGCCGCCCTTTCGCCCCATGGCTAACGCCCTAAATTAAGGAAGCGAAGCAGAAACAGAGACGTGCAGAAAGCCAATGGCGGAAGTCGGGCTCGACAGTGCACCGACAAATCTTTGTTGACCAAAGGGAACGAACCAAAAAGTTGGTCCTTGCAGCTAGGACAGAGCATGTTAGTCATCATATTATAGACAGCAGCTCAAGCAAGGGCTTATTTCGCATTGTGGATCTCCTGACTAGTAAATACAAGCATACATCTCTGCCAAACATGCTGTAGGCGAGCTTCCAGACTCTTTAAATGACTTCTTTATTATGAAAGCTAAAAATATCAGGGTGAGACTTGACACTTGCATCGATGTTGCCCAAGAATTCTCACCCTTCAACAACTCTCCTATGCGTGAATTTGTTGAAGTTAATGAATCAAGTGTGAGGAAAATCCTTGCTGATACCCCAAGAAAGTCATGTTCGCTTGACCCACTTCCAGCAGGGCTCTTGAATGAATGTCTGGATAATATATTCCCCATCATCACTTTTATCATAATTCAGTCCTTGCCTACTGGTCTTGTTCCATCACCTTTTAAAGAAGTGGTTGTCACTCCATTATTAAAGAAAGCAAATCTTTATACAAATGTGATGGAAAAATATCACCCCATCTCACATCTACCATTTATATCCAAAATCTTAGAAAAAGTCATTCTCCGCAAACTCCTGGATCACCTCATTCAATGTGACTTATTTGAACTTTTCCAGTCAGCATACAGGGCGCATCACTCTACTGAGAAAGCCCTATTGCGCGTCGTAAACGACCTTCTGTCGTCTTATGATGAGGGCCAGGTATCCATTTTGTCTTTACTTGATTTATCGGCAGCTTTCCAAACGCTTGACCACGGCATACCTCTCCAGCGTTGAAACTAACGTTCGGTCTCACTGATACGTTTTGAGATGGTTCCGGTCGTATCTGACAAATCGTGTCCGTCCTATCTGAAAGAGCTGCTGATGCCTTATGTACCCACTAGAGAGCTCCGCTCATCCGATAGTGGCAAACTCTCGACACCACGTGTTTGCCTTGAGACTTACGGAAAGCGCACTTTCGCATATGCTGGTCCACTAATTTGGAAAGCCGTTCCTGTCGCTCTCAGAAACAACCAGACACTTTAAACCGATTTAAAGACACATCTATTTCGCAAACACCTTCTGGGATGATTGTCTAGCGTATTTTCCAGTTAATGCATGTTGGCTGTGTTGCTTACGGTTGAAATGGGTAGAACGACTTTGACATTGTATGCTTGTAATTAGTTTTTGTAGTGTTGCTTTTTGTTTTAAATGTGGTAAATTATAGTTTTTTTTTGTTTGTTTTTCTTTTGCTTTAATAAATTAATTATATGTAAATAACTCCAGTTTGGGTATCATTCTTTATTACTGTTTGATAAATGGTATTGACTTTTATTATATATTGTTTGTCACGACCTATGTAGTCGAAAAATAGATTAATTTATCCACACAAATTAACGTTACGTATAAAACACAAATATTTAAACTTAACTCTATGAAAAACCACACCATCAAGTTGTGTGGAAAGCTAATAAGGGACGAAGCAGTGATACCGACAGAATAACGATACCGTGGACTAAAACATTTGGAACTCTTCTTACAAATGACTGTTTTTCGTCAGTGCGGAGTCAACTATGACCACTTTAATCAACATAATTTATGCTGATTCTGTCTGTGGGTGCACAGATGGTGTATTGAGGTCGATTTTTTCAAAAAATTATCTTGTGCAGTAGGTGCTGGGGAATGATGGCACATCTCCGTGAGCAGAGTCATACCAGGCCTTCCCGACGTGTCTCTTGTGCTCTGCATCCGCTGCTTTGCCAACTTCTTGTTGCATGGAGCTCCTGTGCAAAGTGAAACGTCATGAAGTTCAATTCTTTGCCGTTTCCTCCCACGTGTCTGGATTTAAAATGAACGCTTTCAGTGAGGCTTTTATGTTGTCTTTAAAGCGTTTTTTGTCTGCCAGCAAACCGTTTTCCTTGTTCAAACTCAGCGTAGACAATTCATTTTGGGCATACGGTCATCTGACACTCTTACAATATGTCCAACCCAGCGAAGCTGGGACTTCATCAAGATTGTGAAGATGCTGGGGAGATTTGCCCGTGTGATAACCTCAGTCACTGAGACCCAGTCCTGCCATTTAATGTTACTGATTTTTCTGAGTCTTGTTGTATGAAAGTGGTCCAGCAATTCTTGCATAGCGTTGTAGACCGTCCACGTTTCACAGACATAGAGAAGCGTAGGGAGAACACCAACCTGATACACCTTCAGTTTTGTTTGAGTGTTGATATCTCTCCTTGTCCAAATGTTCTTAGTCATTCTTCCAAAGGTTGCACTGCCTCTCGCAATACGGAGGTTAACCTCGTCATCGATAGTTGCACTTTGGGACAGTGTGCTGCCGAGATAGGAAAAACCTTTCACCACATTAAGGCTTTCGCCATATACTTGGATGTTGGGCTCAACATAAGGGCTTCGAGAAGCTGGTTGGTATGTGATTTTAGGTGTTTTTTTTGTAAATGGTGAGCTCACCATTAACTTTAATAATGCTTAATAACTTGATGGCTGGGTGTCGAGCATGGGAATGCAACAATAAATGTATAGACTAAATAGTATGTTTCATAACCCGCGTTGTGTGTTTGCGTGTTTTATTAGTTAATATACGCTCTTCCTCTGCTTTACTTGGTGACGTATTGTATTGCTCTTTATAAGGTAATGTCTAGTCAGTTTTGTGACGTACGTTTTATTGGTCCGGAGTTGTGGATTGAACTTTAAGAAAGTAGAATGTGTTTTATTTCTGTCTCATAGCGAGCTGCGCTACATGCATGTGTTCATGAAATTTATAGCTTGCGTATATAAGTAGGTAATTAAGTTACATTTATTGTGATATACGACTTAAGTTGATTCAATACTAGCTCATATATCTTGCCTAGAGTCCGGTAAACTTGCGATGTGCCGTGGCCATGTCCGGCCACCTAAACCTTAATGATATTGGTAGGGATAATACGTGCCTGATAGGTAAACCTCGTTATTTTTTTTTACTTAGAGGAAAAGTAAATGATATTTTTATGTAAAAACCCTAACCCTAAACCTAACCCCTAACCCTAAACCCTAACCTTAACCCTAACCCTAACCCTAACCCTAACCTAACCCTAACCCTAACCCTAAATCGGTGACCTTACAATTACCGTCGCATGTCCATGTGTTTCATAGTCGGAGTCCCACTACCACCGTGTATCAAGTTTATACGAGTTACATACGCTAGTGACTCCATCAGCTACCTAACTCTTAAATCAGGTTAGTTACGTCTTGCCATGTATATCATTAACTACGCCTTGACCTGTATCAGGTTAATAACGTCCTCTCCATTATAGGTTCCCAACTTCGTGTCGAGTTCTAGTTAATTAAATACGCCCTGTCCGTAATGAAGTTGCAAACGTCCTGTTAAGTTTTAGTGAATGAACTTAATCTTTCTCTGTAGCAAGTTAACTGTATCAAGATGCCAACTCGTGTTCAGTTTCAGTGAAATAACTAGGCCCTGCCTGTAGCAAGATAACTATGTTCTGCCTGTAATGAGTTGCAACATTTTCTCCAGTTCGAGTGATGCATCTTAGTCCCATTCTTTATCAGTTTAACGACGTCCTGCCCTGTATCCATTTACCAACGCCATGTCCTCCTGCAGCGAGCCACCTACACACTGTGCAATATAAAGCTGCATATGGGCTGTAATGTCAGCGATTGCTTACATCTTGTATTATGTCCAGTGGGTCGTCGACATCTTGTATCCCTGTCTATTCACCTGAAACCCGCCACTGTGTCCTGTGATTTGCCCAAGTTACCATCAACCTGCCCACTGTTCTGTATTACGAGCCATAAACGTCCCGTTCTACACCAATCTGCCTATGCCCGATCAAAAGCTTGTGAGCTATCCACGAATTTTACATTTTCGGTGAGTGGCCTACATCATTTCCAGTGAGCTGTTCCGGTTACCTACACCCTAATATCTGTGTCCCGTGAATTTTCTCCCAATAGCATTATGTTTGTGAGAGAACTAGTGGCACTTAGCTTAACAACCACTGACAATTAAGCCCCAGTGTTTTTTTATAAAAGCATAATTTAAATTCCTGTATAACATTCCAAAAACCAGGTACATTGGGTTATAATTTTTTAAAATATTTTGTATGTATATTTTCGTAAACATAATATATTAATCTTCTTTACACTGATAGTATTTAACTTGTTGCCAGAATTGGTTTAAACAGACTAAGATTGATCCTAAACTAGAGGTTTTTGTTTTTTCCCCCACTATATGCTGATCCCTAATGTGTATTACTATGGCGGAAATATGTTAATAAGAAAATGGACTTAAGAAGAATTTTAGCATCGGGGTATATAACTATGTTATCAAGGATACGAAGTTGTGGAATTTGCAAAAGAATGTGGGAAAAAACCGAGACAGCAAGAGGGTACAGAAAAACTAAGATATTTAGAACGTATGGCTAAACAGAGAGAGAGCTAGAACGTATAGCTAAACAGAGAGAGAGAGAGAGACAGACAGACAGAACGTATAGCTAAACAGAGAGAGAGAGAGAGTTAGAAAGTATAGCTAAACAGAAAGAGCTAGAACATGAAGCTAAACAAAGAGAGCTATAACGTATAGCTAAACAAATATACTAGAACGTATAGTTAAACCGAGATATGTAGAAGGTAAAGCTAAACAAAGAGAGCAAGAAAGTATAGCTAAACAGAGAGAGCAAGAACGCATAACTAAGCACAGATATGTAAAATATGTTGCTAAACAAAGACAGCCAGAACGTATATCTAAACAAATAGAGTTTGAACGAATACATAAACAGAGAGAGCAAGAACGTGTAGCTAAACATATCTATGTAGAACATACAGCCAAACAAAAATAGACAGTACAAACTTAAAGATGTACACAGACACTATGACTTGGATAAACTTGATGATGAAAAATGTTTGGCGGAAATCGAGTCAGAACTAATGTAAATCATTTGAGAGAGACATGCATATTATTTTAATGACCGTGGCGAAATGTACGGCTAGAGTTAAATTATCTGATTTTTTTGTGAGTTTGAAGATGTGAGTGTAATCCCTGAGGTTTGGGAAGGAGACACAATTGTTGTTGATTCAATGTATGATGCAAATCAGTCATCAGATAATGTGATCAAAGTTGGTTCAAATGTTATTACTATAGAGAAATTTAATAAATATGATTTAGTATGTAATGTGAGCAAGGGTTGCTCAGGTTTTGATTTTTTTGCATATATCTACAATGAAAATGGATCACAAGATGTTATGAGCAGGGATTGCTAAAAAGTGTCTAGTGTTATAGAGAGCTGTATTGATGGGTAATGTGAGCAAATGTTGATTTTATGGCAGAGAACTTTAAAGAAAATACATTCTTAGGTAATGTGAGAAAAGTTCTCTCAAATGTTTAGTTGTTACAGAAATCTGTAATAAAAACCAAACACTAGGTAATGTGAGCCCGGGTTGTTCAAATCTTCATTTTGATACAGATAGCTGTAATTAAAATAAATCACAAGGTTAGGTGAATCAAAGATGTCCAGTTTTTGAGTGTCAGGAGTGCTTTTACATTAAGATGGAAATAAATGAATCAGTTAAGGAGAGCACCGCAGCTCTAAAATGCACATGTTTACGATTGTGTAAATGTAGTGGGGTTTTAACTCAATGAGTTGGAAGTTGTTGTTTTTTTGTTGTTTTTTTTTTTTCTGTTGTTGTTAATAACGATTCTGTTCAAATGAGATAATACCATGATTGCTCTGACTATTTTTATTTGTATAATCCGTTTGAGGAGACTCGATTTTCATTTTGTAAAAATTTAAAAATATGTACTGTAAAACTAAATTGGTTAATTCTAAAGGCAAAGAAATGTCCCACCCTCTGGACATATTTCATATAAGAGTAAAAAAAGTCTGCTTATATTGTGGTTAAGCATCTCTCTTCTGTAATAATGTTAGATACTTTTGTGTTTTTCTAGTGATGATCAATTATTTTAGTGATAGTTACAAATTAGTTAATGATATTGATGTAAATACCCTGCTATGGGAGATAAATGGCATTAAGTGTATTGGCTTAATATCCTTGGTATGAAAAGGAAAAGTTGAAATTCATCGCACTGATTTTTTTATATAGTGTCTTACATGAAATTTAAAATCTTTCATATTAATTAAATTATGTACGACTTTTATTGATTGTTGTGTATCGTAAAACTGCTAGATTTTAAGGGCTCCTGAATAATTTTGTTTAGCTTAGACCATTTCGTTTATGTGAAGGTTTATAATTGATAATGATCATGTGAATTTTTGTGTGTGAATGTCTGACTTGGAAGAGTGGGATATGTCGAGCATGGGAGTGCAATAATAATTGTTGCAACAATACTATTTGTTATTACTCGTTGTGTGTGTTTGGGAGTCTTTTTAAAGTTGTTGAACGCTATTCCCGCGCTTGGCTTTGTTGCGCATTTTTTATGCTCATTATGACGTATTGTCTAATCTGCTTTTGACGTACGTTTTAATCGTATGGCTGTCGTAAAAAGAACTTTGTGAAAATATGATGTGTATTATTCTGTTGGATAGCCAGCTTTGATATATGCATGTGTTTATAAAATTACAGCTTGTGTATATATTTACACACCAAAGTTACATTTATTGAGATAAACCATCACGTTGATTCAATACTAGTACGACGTATTACCGTGTGTGAAATGAGGTGATGGATTAACACATTTAGTAGAAAATACAAGGTTTACGCAATGACATGATTAATTGTTTCCGTTAATGGATATTATGCCTGGGTGGCGGTTAAAGCCCTTGCCAATGATTTTAACTACGCGGCCCTAAGTAAGCTGATCCTAGGCGATCGTTTCGTCCCAGCCTTCGTCCTGACCGGAAAACTCCCTGGATGATGGAAGGAGGTAAGGCAACGCCTTCCCACAGAGAGGAAAAAAAAACGTTCTGACCCAAGGAGAGAGGACAACGAACGCTTTAAACTCAGTGTTTTCAGTCGATTGAATGTCCCCTGGCCAGGGGGAGGTTCCCGGCGTTCTTCCGCAGGGTCTGGCGGGGGGGGGGGGGGGGGGGGGGGGGGGGGGGGGGGGGGGGGGGGGGGGGGGGGGGGGGGGCTGGGAGGTGCCAGGGGTTATTATGAGCTCGTGCTCGACACCAACCGACACCATCTACAAAGTATCGTTATTAGTAGAAACAAGTAGTTGACACTGGAAGCAGACATAAGTCATCCTACTTGCATCAATTTGTAGAAATGTGAATCAATAATAAAAAAATCAAATACATATATTCCCCCCCCCAATAATTTAATTTGGCATATGCAGAAACTAATGCCCCAGTATGCATATGCATCTAAATTTATACAGCAGTGACCACACGCAGACTTGCACATATACAGAAAAACTTTACCAGAAATTTGTTTGAAAGAACTTTCGTCAAAAAAAAATTGATCGAAGGAAGTTCGATTTATCGAAAATTTGGTCAAACGTAAGTCGAACGGATTTGGGTTGATTTTTTTTTTCGCCAAAAAAAAAAATAACAATTAAACAAAATAACATGTCTAGTTAAATAATAAATATATGAAGTAATTTCTGTGCACTCTACCAAAATGTAGAGCACATGTATTGAATAAAGTATTTAGAAAATATTAACTTATTAATACATACGCTAGATAAGAACCTATAAATGAAATTATTTTACCTAGACTTCTACATGCGAGTCCACCAAAATGGCAAATGTTTTTCTTTTTCAAATATGTGCATTACGCATACACAAAAATTATTCGAATACATTAACTATTATTAACACAGTGTTGATTACTTTTAATCATCCTCGTAGTTGTTTAAACATGTCAGGTACATATCTTATCTTACGGCTTGAAGAGTGGTTATTGAGTGTTTTTTAAGAAGACAATGTGGATAAGCGGATTTAGGAAGTAAATTATCTAACAAAATTATGGGAGTTATAGACGCCAATTTCAAGTACATGTGTGTGTTCCCGAGTAATTGGAAAGCATGCTTGTTGTTACTATCACACCATCTATTTTTAAGAGTGAAACAGTTGGTATCTATTCTGAAGTTTCCCATAAAACTGAAGAACAACGTCTAAAATACCATTTTCACACCTGTAGCTCATACGGATTTTCTTATATATTTTATCCTAAAAATCTCGTTAAAATATTTGGAAAAATACAAAATAGACAAAACTTCCATACAAAAAAAAAATTATGTAAATTGGGTTACAGGTGAGTATATCAAATAACACAACATAACATAATTTAAATTTTAAAAAAACAAGTTCAATTGGCTTCGCACCTGAAAAAGGATAACTTGATGAGTTTTTCCCACAATGAAATACGCCAATGTGCATTTTCTATTTAAGCTCACGATGAACTGACCAGCTATCTTATTTACGAATTTATTCATTCCTGACGTCATTTAAAAAAAAAAAAAATTATTGGCAACGTCTGTAAAATTTGCGCAAAGAATTTTAAGCTACTTATATTTGCTTATGCCGTTGACATTGTCCATGCAACATATTCAATGTTTTCCTTAGACCATTATGTATGTAAGTAGTTCATTTTATAAAAATGATAAAGCGGATATACTTTGTTAACAAAAATAAACTTCAAAATTAGTAGATAGATATATAGATAGAAAGATAGATAGATAGATAGATAGATAGATAGATAGATAGATAGATAGATAGATAGATAGATAGATAGATAGATAGATAGATAGATAGATAGATAGATAGATAGATAG